GTCTGTTCTCTTCCTCATTCATAGTTGTTGTTATTCACTGCGGGACCTAAATCATTACGTGGTTTTAGAAGTGATGAATCTGCAGCGTTATCCATAGCAGAAAATTGGTAATTCAGGGCCTGGAAGCTGCACTCAGCAAGGAACAAAGGCCTGTGAGAGTACAGTACCCTCTCTGCAAGGCAGAAGTATAACCAGCTCAGAGACATAGTTAAACATGGATGCATTACAAGCCCCTTCTTGCCTTTCATTGTCAGGAAGTGTAGCTGAGAATTGGAGAAAATTTAGCCAAAGGTTTGAGTTGTATTTAGCTGCTATAGGAGCAGAAGAGAAAACCAATAAAGTTAAATCATCCATTTTCCTGCATGTGGTAGGGGAAGAGGTGCTTGAGGTGTGCAACAAATTTGCATTTGCTCCAGGCCAAAACATGAAGTTAAATGAGATATTGAATAAATTTGAAGACTATTGTGTGCCAAAACGCAATGAGACTTTTGAGAGAGAGATTTTTTTTTTATGTGCATGCAAAAACTAGATGAAAGCATAGAGTATATCACAGAATTAAAAAGGCTCAGCAAGACCTGTGTTTTGGGGGACATAACAGATTGTCTAATCAGGGACAGAATAATTTGTAGCATTATAGACAATGAATTAAGAGAGAAGCTGCTACCGGAAGGAGACCTATCCCTAGAAAAAACTATGCAGATTTGTAGAGCAGCTGAAACTGTGAAGGCTCAGGCCAAAGAGCTGAATGCAGCTGAGGGTGTTGTCCATGCAATACATAGTAAAAACAGACAGAAAAGGCCACTTCAAATGGAGGTGCCCGAGCTACCACTAAGGGGCAGATGGAGTACAGGCAAGCATGCAGCCAGTGTGGAATGCAGCATGGCTCCAAACAATGCGCTTCATTAGGAAAGCTGTTTTAATTGTGGTAAAAATAACCATTTTGCCAAGTGTTGCAGGGTGCAAGCCCATAAAGTCCAGGTACATACAGATGAAGATGCTCCAGAGGGAGAGTATTATATAGATACAGTAGAATGGAGCAGAGCTACTGAGAAGGACTGAATCTTGCCCTAGAAGTGCATGGGATAATGATTCTATTCAAACTGGATACAGGGGCTCAGGTGAACATTTTACCAAAGCAAGATTATAAAAGGCTGAAAAATAAACCAAAACTGAGGCCTGAAAAAGTAACCATAACTGCCTATTCAGGTGCAAAGTCAAGCAAAAGTGCCTAGCCTGCATCAAACATAAAAATGTGGTGTACGATCTTGCATTCACTGTAGTACCGAAGGAGGTGACACTTATTTTGGACCTAGCAGCTTGTGAAAAGCTCAATTTGGCTAAATGGGTGCTTGCATTAGAACACTCTAGCTCACATTATGAGGACCTTATTTTGGAATATCAAGACTTGTTTCATGGCCTTGATTGCTCACTAGGGGAACATACAATTCAGATAAATAAACAGGTCCCTCCAGTTATACACCCATGCAGAAAGGTACCTTTTGCTCTCCATGATAAACTAAAGGCAGAGCTGAAAAGTATGGAGGAAGACCAGGTAATACAGAAAATTGAGGAGCCAGCAGTGTGTGAACTCCCTAGTTATTGTGGAGAAGAAGAATGGACAGCTGCGAATATGATTGGATCCAAGGGATCTCAATAAGGCCATAAAGACTGAACATTTTAAGTTGCCCACCAGAAAAGAGATTATGGCTCAGTCTGCAAATGCACAGTTGTTCAGACTGCCAGTGTGGGCTTACCAGATTGACCTGAGATACTTAGGGGTGTAGGTTGTAGCCGTGTTGGTCTAAGGACATAGGCAGACAAGGTTCCTTGGGTGAATTTGATATCTTTTATTAGACCAACCCAAATAGTTGGAGAATAGTTAAGCAAGCTTTCGAGTTCAAAAACTCTGTCAGGCTAAGGAAGTTTCAGCAGTTGGTATGTGCTCTTCCTGGATGGAAGCATTGAATATACTCAGTTGATACTGTGAAAACTGTTTTGCATCTGCCAGGCTACACACCTATTTTTAAAGGAAAAGTTAGATTTCAGAACACGAGACCCAGCCACTAAGTATAAGAGCAACATTCCAAGCTGTGATGAGCCAGCCCATTTCATCCCTTTGTGCTGAGGTTTCATAATAAAATTATTATAAACTAAACAGAAACATAATTATAAGCTAAAAAGATCTGGTTTACAAAACACTCTGCTATCTGTAGTGGTCTGATAGCCCTCTTACTACAGCATCTGACTATCTCAGAATCCCTAATCTGATGATACAGTTGTGATCTACAGAAGTACTACTGTGGCCATTTTACAGCTGGATCTTTGAGGCCCATACCATATTAGCAGTATACCCAGGGGCTAGGGTGATGTGGGTGCTAAGGTGCGTGGTTGATAGCCCAGAAGTTACAAGTTCAAGGCCATAGCAGAAGCATTCATGCTGCGGCCCTGTCAAATTTCAGTGAATCTGCAAATTCTGCTAAATATCTAGTCACAAGGACATGAAAAAGGAAAGCAGCATACCCAGAAAGGATGGGGCTAAGTGTACCCCATCCACCCAAGTCTGCTTATATGGTCCAGATCCAGAAGTTCACTCATATACTTTCTGCTCCAGGCTCATCCCCAGCACCCAATCTCAAGTCCTTGGACTCCAGGGAGACTAAGGGCTACTAATGGGAATGATCTCAGAACTGTCCCACTGACGAACTTCCAGGTTTGAAGCACATCAGCCAACTTAGGTGGGTCAGATATGGACAGGATGTACTTGGATCCTGCCCCCCTGGCCGCATCCAGACGAGCATGGCCATGCGGTATGTGGCAGTGCAGACATGTGCGGCACCACATACCACACATTCAGCTGTTCTCCATGCTGCAAGGGAGAAAGGGATATCCAGAGGTCAAAAAAACCCATGCAAAAAATAAAAAGCAGGGCGGTGCATGTTGGGGCAGCATGCGCCACTCAAAACCGGAGCCTGGCAGGTGGGAGCCATGCTCCAGCATCTGGCAAGGCTCCAAGCGGCAGGATTGCTTCTGCTGCTGCAGCCCCAAGGGGCCCCCAAAACCCCAGAGAAGGCTGCCAGGCTGGGCTGGCCCTCACCTCCCCTATCCCACCAGGGGTAACCTGCCCCGTGCCAGAGGACGCATGGCACAGGCATTCCCTGGGGACAACTAGTGGCAGCACAAGGTATCCCACTGTTAGCTGTCCCCAGGGAACCAAACATCCATTCTCCTGTGGATGTGGCCCCTTTGACTGGGCAAGTCCACACATGCAGGCACATGCACTTGCAGCAGCTCAAGTAGCAGCAGACAAATATGTGCCAGAGATTTGTGCTTCAGCACACATGCCTGAGCATGCACTTTGGTGTGGGGCCAATTATGCCACTTGGGGCAAACTGACCCTGCCCAGCTCTTTTTGGTGAAAAGGGGAGTAGGATCTTCTTGTACTTCTTTGCAGTAGGTGGTGTCAGAGAGCTGTCTGTTGGCTTCCTTTATGTAATCCTCACGGTTTAGGATGAGTATGGCTCCTCCTTTCTCTGCTGGTTTTATTACTATTTGGTGGTTGGATCTTAGAGATTCTATGGCCTTTTTCTCTGGTAGAGAGAGGTTGTTGTGGTGGCGCGTGTTCCTGATTATTTCATTGTTCATTCTTTCCCTGAAGCAGTCAATGTAGCGGTCAAGGTTAGGGTTTCGTCCACTGTGAGGTGTCCAATCTGATGGGCTAGAAATAGTGCCAGTGAACTCTGAGCAACCCCAAGGGTGGAGTAGGGGAGCCCTGCCTTGTGGAAAAGGAGAAGCCAATGGAAAGAAGGGGTTTTCAATCCCCTCATTCGCATGGAAGGGGGATGGCCAGGGTTGTGCCCCAGCCACCCTGAGCCCTGGTTGGCTGGTTTGCAAGCCAAGGAGGGACTGCCAGAGGGGATAAAAGCAGCAGCTGAACTGGCATGTGGGGCTGCTAACAGTGAATCCAGGGAACGATGCAGGAAGCCTAAGAAGAGCTAGGGTGAGCTAACCCAGCAGAGGGAGCAGAGAGACCCCTCTGAAGAGCCTCAAAGGCCCTGGGAGAAGAGGGCAGCAGCAGTTGGCCATGCCTCTAGCCCTGCAGCAAAGTGGGAGCAGTGGCCAGGGTTTGGGGCAGAGAGCTGGTGCCCCAAGGCCCCATCGCAGTGTGCTGGACATGCTGGGCATCTTGGAGGCTAGGGGTGGTAGTCGGCCTCCCACTCCACTGCGGAGAAGCAGCAGCGGCCCGGAGCAAGGAGCTGGGTGGGCAAGTTGAGGAAACCCCTCACCTTCCCCAGAGAAGTGGGACAGCAGCAGGCAAGGTATTGGGATCCTGAGGAGTGGCAGAATGCCAGGACGAGGGTCCCCAGGAGCACAGAGCACAGGCTGGCACTCGCAGTGGGATTGGTGAGCCGCAAGGCACATGGGGCACCCGGCCAGTCATCTGGAGCAGGAGTTTAGAGCAGCGACCCCTGGGAGCTGCCCGTGCTGCTGACCCTCTGCCACTCACTGCCCCAGAGGGGACTCCATCCTGTCCCTTATTCTACAGCTTATTGTCATCGGATGGAGTCCCTGAGCTTTGTGCTTGAGTCATGCTGATTGCTGCAGTAGCCTACTCTCTTGCTTGTTGCTTGCATTTTTGGTTGCCACAGTGGGTCACCCTTCAGCCTCTTTGGGGGATTGGGCTTTGATACAATTTGATTGCTGCAGACCAGAAGAGCTTACACTATTGCAGTCTGGTGCTTATTGAGAAGCCTGTTGGAGCTACTGGGAGCGAGCACCTTGCTTCCTTGCTGTAGCATCTCAACTGTGGCTGAAAGCTGCCAGTTACCCTACCCGTGGTTCTTGAGTCAAGGGTTGACTAATACATTCTGGCTTGTTTTATGATTCTGGTTATGCCATTTAAGTTCACTTGTAAGTAACCTTTCCTATTATTCTTGTTTTGTAAATAAAGTGTAAATAGTTAAATCAGTTAAGTGTTAGACCTTCTTGGGACCACGGGCTGC